AGAAATTTAACTGATTTCTCGGAATTTTATTATAATTTTTTAGGAATAAAAATGAATTCTTCAAATTAAACTAAGAAATATTTTGAATAGTATAATTTAAATGAATTTATGTGGTTCAAACAATTTCTTGTGAACATATTTCCTTTTGGAGAACATATTTTGTATTTTGTTGAGATTGTTAATTGCTGTTTAAAGCAGTGTTTTTCACACTGTGGGGAGTGCCTCCCTAGGAGGGCATGAGGGGGGCGCAAGCATATTGGAAAGTCAAAAACAAAAGATTATTTTTTTTAAAAAAATTAAAATTTACTGAAAGTAAACAATAAAATACATTCTGAGATAATAAAGAGCAAAATATATATTTACATTGATATAATATAAATATATCAGAACTATACAATGTATTTTATAATTAATTTAACAATACTAAGTTACAAACAAGTTTATAATAATCAACAGTGACCCCATAGGTTTGTCATGTATAACATTATATGCAAAATTAACGCTTATCTTGATAGTGTGTACATTTTATAATAATCGCCGATTAAACATTACGCGATTATCTCCCCAATCTCGCCATTTTCATCGTAGGCATGCTTATGTGATGTATTTGGGGGGGGGGGGTGATTATATAAAATCAAATCCTTTGAAATAAGTGAATCCCTATGAAACACTGTCAATGTCTTTTTATTGCATACAAAAGCCTTCGGAAGCACTTTATGTGGATAGCAGAGTATAGAAAAATCTCAATTTAAAAAGATGTATATATACGTCTGGGGCAGTTAACAACTTGACTGAGTGGCATGTTTATATATGCCGATGTCAAGAAGTTAAAGTCGTATAGTAGCCTTAGCGTCAAAAAATAGTATTTTTGAATTCAAAGCATTGTTTTTGTATGGAAGGGGGCAAATTATGATTAAATATTGGAATGAAAATATTGAAAGTTTGAGAAGCACTGGTTTAAAATTTAAAATGGAAGTGCATTTAATAAAGTGAGTTGATTGCTCCATATTGTCATTCATGTCTAATAATTTTAATGTGTGTTTTCATTTTTCCTAAGCATGTTTGATGGGGTTTTTAAATCCTGTGTAGAAAGTACACATTTTGGCTATACATTTGAAAGCGAGGGGAGTATTTTTTGATATATAGATATATAAGTAAATTATTAAAATAGTTGATATCCTACATAAGACAATTTCACGTTTTTAATGTCAATATATTATATAGATATCAAATATAAAAACTCACCTTTATTTATATTATCGATATATTTGCCTATTTATATTGTCACACTTCTTTTGTTTCAGAAACCTGTATTAATTATGTTTGTAAAATTGCATCAAAATTCGAAAATTTTGGAGAATGTATGAATTGTCAGTGATTATTTGTTTTCAAATCAATTCAACTGATACTTCAAAGTGTTCTTTTTCTATTAAATTGATATAAAATAGAGATATTAAGATTATCCATTCAACATCGTTTTAAAAAATAATAACTTTTTTTAAAAAAAAGTTATGAATGCTTTTTTACTTTACTGTTTATGCTTTTGTATCATGCTAAAGAGAAATGTTCTAATAACGACTCATATTCAGGAATAAATGACTATATTAGCGTGGCAATATTGTGCACATATAATAATTATTCGACGTCACTGAATATATGCTATTTAGTAGTGACTTATATTCGCGGTGTTAAGTTATTTTGGCTCTAAGTGCCAATTCGCCAAATAAAATCACGAGTTAGAAAGGACAGTCCTTGTTTATATTTTATTGTTACGCATTTTCATATTTGTCGAAAATGAATGAATGAAGTTTATTTTGTTATATAAAAATATTATGTCCGAAATTCTCTTACAAAACTTTTTTTTCTCGTGCATTTTACTTTGAAAGGTACGGATTTAACCAACATATGCACAATTCCTTTTGTTTGGTACACATTTTAGTTTGGGAGTTGTTCGTATATTATATATATATAATCTTAAATACAGCAGTTTTTTTTCTTTTGGATTAGATAATTTTTGAATGTATTCTTCAATTCATTTAATATTTTTCAGTATTTCAAAACGGTCTTACAAGCTTAATTCATTGCATTTTTAACCATCTTTCGCACTGAGTAATGAAGGAATGATTTTAAAATAAGAAATGATGCCAAGTGGAGTTTAATATTTAAAAAAAAATATATTCATAACCTCAGACTACAAATATTTGTTTATTTAATTCAACATTTATATACTTCTTTACTTGTAAAACTTATTAAAAATCAAATATGTGGATTTGGAGGTGTTTTTAGGAAATAAATCACGCGTGAAAACTGAAACGTTTATTTATTCAATGCTAGCAAATAAACAATTCGTTTTTAAACATTCCTAAGCAAACATTTGTACGTACATACGAATTATAAGAAATTGGCATTTATAATTTTGCACACTTGGCTTTAAAATAAAAATCATGAATTATGATTACCTTTATTTACAGAACAATATTATTAGTGTATTTTACTGGTATCTATGTATATCATTAAAATTTTGTTAGTTACAAATATATTCATGTAATTGTAAGGAAATATATTAAGAAAAGATAGGATGGCAGAAATGTAAACCCGTTTCGATTGTGAAACTGTAGTCCTCCATTGAATATTATTTTTGTGTAAAATAATAACAACTATTATATATAGAGAGGAACAATAAGAGGCATTTTTTCAAAGGGGAAACGCAATTTCTACCAAATGCACGGACAGTCTAATTCCAGCTACTTGGGAAAAATGGAAGTTACCTCCTAAGGACTAGGATCTCTATCTGGCTGTTGTTTAACAGTAAAGGAGAGATAGTTGTATATATATTGTGTTAAGTGATAAAATTGTAAAACTTTGCCGTGTGAAATTATTTTATATTTTATTAAATTTGAAATTTGAAAAGATTGTTAAACTAACATTATTTTTTTTTGCAATGGAAAATCGATTCCATATTTATTAATGAAGTATTTTAAGGTAGTGGTACAGAACTACAGTAAACGGAATGCTGTGGAATGCGGAGAATAATCATGTAAACAAAACAATTAATTGCTAATTTGTGTACAATGAATGACTTATAAAACAGGAAATATTAAATAAATTATATAAAATTAAAGAAGTACATGTGCAAAGTCATCCTAGGTATTGTGTAAGAATTGTAAAGTATTCCTGTTTTGACCTTAACTTTTTTCATTTCCTTAAATACAACTCAACTTTAAGTTATCCGCTTAGAAATCAGTTGCTATTCGTATCACAGTGAATTAAACAATATTGAAATACTTGAAGAGTAAAACTAAATTGGAGGTGATGTCTGTCACTGGAACTGAGTTACAGAACCATTGGCCGACTAGAAATAACCATAGATTATTTGCCGTTGCATGATCATTAAATGTCGACCGTGTTGAGGGGAATATATTGAGAAAACAGTTTTGAAGCTTCAATTTTCTAAAAAGTATTTGTACTAATTTCGTGTTCTTAAATTTAGGATAGCGGATTATTGATTTCATATAATTAAATATTAATACTATGTGCAACATTTTTTACTGCGTCTCTACGTTACATGTTGTATAAAGAATAATATCAACAAGTCTAATATAATTTACTAGTATACCTTTTCAATTATAATTCTTTTACAATTTATTTAAAATGATTTTTTGCAGATAAACCTTTATATCAGGAGTGGGCTTAGAAGTGTTCTAGGCGCCACACACCTATATAATAAGGAAATCAACTACAAAGAAAATGTTATCTATATTTGAGTCGACAAATATTTGAGAGCAAAGTTTATCTTACATGAAGATCAACAACAGTAAATATAAGATGCAAGTTGAAATAAATTAACTTGCTGTCTGTGATATGAATTTCAACAAGCACAATCTGACTCTTGATTTCAAAACAATTGTAGAATTGTCTCATTAGATTGATTCTAAAATTAAATGTGCTTACACAACAATAGATTATATGGAATTAGCACAGTAAATAAATTGAATAAAGCTGCTATTATTTCATTTAATTGCAATTATTGCTTTTATGGCACAATTTATATCTTTTACGAGATACAAATTTAACTAATGAGTGCAATAATTTAACCCACCGCTAGGCCAAATATTTCTATCCATAGGCACGCGGAATCTCTCAGATGCATCACCTCATGATTACGTTTGAAGATTATTTAATCCTTTTTTGGAGAGATTTGACAATAAAATATATTTGACATAAAATAATATTTAAAATGGGACCAGAAATTGAGATATTTCTACGAAAAAACATCCATCGTGTCATCATTGTTTACATTTTAGGAAGCCTTGTTATAGTCCTTAAAAATCACCTTACAATATTCAGAGTTCTGGCGAGAGGAAACAGTACCTTCTTTTCCTGGTGATGTTTTTTGTCTTGAAAACAGCATTGTATACCAGGTATTTCTTCAATTCTGAGTCAAAATGAGCGAGTCATGTGAACGTTACACTCAGAACGTCTTTGCGCAAGCACTCTTTTAAAAGTCGTAACCCAGATTTCCTAGATATGTGTGCGAGGAACTTGTACCACACGGGATCACGTGTATTACATTAGTGTCCAACGTACGAGATAGGAGTCGGAGCTCATTTTTGAGTCTTGCCCGAATAGTTCAGTCGGTAGAGCATGAGACTCTTATTCTCGGAGTCGTGGGTTCATGCCCCACGTTGGGTACCAATGTAACACACGTGGTCCCGTGTGTTACAATCTGAGGGATTTTGATTCTCATACATATATTTCGGTTTTATCCAACTGCATTGAGGGTTCAATAAAATAGAGTCACTGGCTAAGCATGCGGCATACCTCAGATGTATCTCAACTCCCATCAAAAATTAAAAATCAAACAAAAGTTACAAAATACTTGTATCGAATTATTTTCGTATAAAAATTAAAACTACACTATTTTACAGGGGGAAAAATTCAAAATCAACGAGAAATTATACTAAGTCATAAAAACTGACATTGTTGGGCACACTGTATGTGTCAGATTCAATGGCCCCTGCCACCCGAAATATGAAGAAATCGCCCTCATTCTTGACATTGAATCCTTGGGCGAGTACTGAAAGGCAATAGAAGTAGAAGGAACGTGTTCCAACCCAACGTGTGGACACAACACCGAAACTACTTTTATCATGCGTTAAAAAGGAGGGTTAAAAAGGTGTTGCTCTTCGGTATCTACCGCTTCCGCAAAGTGACTTTTGAGTCAAAACAATTACATGTCCCTGCTTTATTTAATAGTGTTATTAGAGTACGATATGGGTATTGAGACAGTTTTAAAGTTATGGAGTTTTTGTAGCGACACACTTTCTACATTTTGCACACTAGTCAAAACATGAATAATTCCCTCAGTTGACTTTAAATGAATCGAAAAGTACAAGAAATACACACAACACCACTTCGAAAGGTACCATACCAATTAAAAGCCATTACAATATTTTATATATTGAATCTGATTATTTTTATATTTTATACATATTACAATCTAAGTCCTTTTATTTGCCTGATATATAAATTGAATTATAAATCTTTAATAACTCTCCATATATTTCTATACTCATTTCCGGTCAAAAGCCCTTCAATCTAGAATCTCATCACATTTCGTCATTCCTTGTCTGCGCACAAACTACCCCTGACCACCTTCTGTTTACATCACGGAGTTTAAGCACACCCGGGAGCAATCAGCTGACTGACCATAAGGGTCTGGTCACTTCCCTTGACATCCTGTGCAGAGTGTTTATTAATATAGAACTACACGCAGACGCCTGATCATTTAGATGACCTGCTCAAATGGGAAGATGTGTTTCATGCGTCGTGGATTGCAGTACGTGTAATCATGTAATTAATAGTATCTGGTAACCGATTTCTGATAGATATATATTTTTTATTTTAAAATTTCCTTTATTTATTTGAAAGTTACTGTTTTAAGATCAGACTGGAAGATAACAATCTATTGATATTATTCAGAAGTTTTTAATTGAATGAATCTTTCAAATATTTTGTACTGAAATTTTTATCCACTAAAACACAAATGACACCTTATGTCTTATGTTTTCTGAGGTAAAATAAGAGAAAGCATTAGAGAAAATCCTCGAAAATGGTGCTCGTCTTTTCTTAAAAGCTACCTGTTTGAGTAAAAACGATAAATTCTCATGATCCTAAGATAAATTTGTTGCAAAATATTTGTAAATTTTAAATTTTTTCATCTTTTTAAAACGTTTTTAAATATTTAAGGCTTTTTTTAAAATGTCTCTTTTCTTTGAATTTTTTTCCAAGTACTTTAAAATATACTACACAAAACTACGCATGGTTTTTTTCTGCTGCTGCTCTTTAATTTTTTATTAATTTTTTTCATAGTTAAACTTCCAAAAATTCTCAAAAAAACATTAATTTTGAACTTGAAATTTTTTAGAAAAAGTACTAAACATGTTTGAGCTAATTCCATGCACAGATTTACAAAACATACATTTCAGAACATGAATAAAAAATTTCAAACCCATACTTCAAATTATAAAAAAGCTAATAAGGTTTTGAATAATAGTATATGTATAAAAATTCACAACATGCAGAAAATGAGTTTGAAGTTCCCATTTGATTAATAGCATAATATAATATTGATAGAATATTCTGAAACTTTTATGAAATGTTAATTAGCTTATTTAAAACTGCTTACCATAAGAAATTTCAAAAATGTAGAACAATTAAACAGTATAGTGCCATAATGAATATATAGAAGAAAACGAATGAAAGATCAATATGTCATATAACTTTACCTTAATAAGTATAAAAAAATAAATACACACACTTTAGAGCTAATTCCATGCTCGTTTGGCAACTCAAGTAATGTACAGCATTGTACAAAAGATGTTTATGTCTTTATTTTTATTTCCATGATTTTAAAAGCCTTCGCATGTTAAATAATGTACACGAATGAAAGCAAAATCCAAGAACAATTTATGGGTAAAATGTATCAAAATCGAAGAATTGCATGTGTGTATTTGTTTAAATAAATATCCTAAAATATTTTAAAAATAATAGTGTTGAATTTCTCACATATGGGATATATATATATATATATATATATCAACAAAAACAAATATATAAAAATGGGAGAGTTTTGCTATTATTGCGAATTAGATTTTTAATTCTCCGAGTTATCAAAATGAGATTTAGTATTTGTGCTGTGGGAAAAGATTAAAATTTTAATTTCATTCATAATAATATCATAAAAACCACGCACCACTTTTAAATCTTGACCAAATCCATTTGCTCTTCAATAAACAATACACAATCTAGAATGTTTGCATGAATTGCACAATTCTTTCTAGAAATAATTTGTTACTGCAAATATAATTCTACAAATGTTAGTCTCACTTATGCACGGTAGAAAAATAAGTAATTCATTTTTTATCAGGCTCTTTTCTAGCAAATGATCTGAAATGTAGACGTGGTAGTTGCTGTCCAGCATCAAATATTGTACCATAAGTTGATAAAAAATGAAGGTAAAGCTTTGAAATTTGGCATACCTGTTTAAACAGATTCGAGGTATCAAATAAGCCAATAAAAATTTCGATAGTTTGATGATTTTTTGCGTTTCATATCGTCTTAAAGAAAGTTTCTACAAAGAGCAAAAGTTTTCCACAGCAAAGCGCCATGATTGTTCGAGAGGAGAGTCCTTAAGAAAGTAAGAAAAAAATTGTTTAAAGTAATTTTTTATTTTATTTTTAGTATAATCTCCTTCTAGTTCGATGCATTTAACTAAACGATCTACAAATTTTTTAAGCCTTCAAAAAATATGATTGTAGAAGTTCCTCAAAGTACGCGTTTGTTTGTGTGATGACCTTCTCGTTTTACGTGAACGGTTGTCCACTGTAAGCCATTTTTTTTTTAAATTTGGAAATGAAAAATAGTCACTAGGACACATATCTAATGGAATACCGTAGATATTCTATTAATTCAAACTTCAATTCCTTAGTTTGAGCATTTGATACTGCGCCTGTGTGCACTCGAGCATTCTCTTGGAGAAAGAGGATTTCTTTTTCTCCAAAAATAAGGACGTTTTTATTTTTTCATGCAGTCGGCCATAAAAGGACGTATAATATTGTCAAGTGATCCTTTGTATTTACCAAATAAATGAGGGTAATTTCACGTGCACCTAAAAAAAAATCGTTGCTATAGTCTTTTTAACTGATTTCATCGTCTTTGCCTTCTTTGGAGCCGGTTTCCTTTAACAATTCATTGTTTTGATTGCACTTTCCTTTAGGGCGTGTAGTGGTGTATCCATGTTAGTTTTACAGCTACTAATCTTCGCAGAAACTCAACCGGATTAAGACCAATGCGCTCGCTCCAAGAGAGCTTTAGATGTGACAAAACGATTGCGTCTAATCTTCAACAAAGCAAAACTGTGGCACCCATAATTTTTCATGGACAATTTATCATGAAAAATTGAAATGACTATACTTTTGACAGCTCTGTGGCGTTAACTGTTTTGTGCTTTCAAGTTCCATTGGTTCCACGAACACACTTTCTAGTTCTAGAGGTTCTACGAACACACCTTCTAGTTCTAGGGATTCCATGAATTGAAACAGTTTGAAGACCACTTACCTAGTGGTCTGTCTGGAGGCTACAGACCCTAGAGTCGCGGGTTCTGTCCTCGGATATGCACCCCCCAAAAGACAATTAGCGATGCTACGAGCGCCATCTCTTAGATTTTCTAAGGGCTTATTGACCTCTCCCTCGTGTTTATCATTTGAATATAACGTTACATGAATTTATGAACTGATTGGCTTGAAACACGTGATTGCAGTTATTCTGACATTGACAGTTAAGAAAGCCCATTGAAAGAAATTTTATACCCAAAGTGTAGCCTATTGACAACTAAGAAAATGAAAATTGTGTATTATTTATTCTTCATGCCATACATAAGTCTGTACTGTACTTTCATTTCCTTTTAAAATCATTACAAACAATTAAAGCCAAAGTTTAATAATTATAAATTTAAGCAGCATACTTCTTCATAATATTAATATATTTAAATATTTGCACCATTAATTTTAATTTTGAATGCAAAGATATTTCTGTAAATGCAGAGATCTACTTTTTAATGTATTATTTCGCAGGACATCGAGTTAATTTTATATAACGGATTTCAATCGCATATTTTAATCAGTTTTGGATAAATAATTGAATTTTTGCAAAGAAATGTACTTTCACAAAATTGAAAATAAAGCGAAACCAATACAAATGATTTGCAAAAAAAAGAGAAAAATCTTCAGTGTATAGTTGAATTCAAGTGAAAATTTAAAATATGTAAGGTGAACACCACTAAAAATTACAAGTAAATCTCTTTTCGCAGCAATCTGTGAATTTTTGCACTTTAATTTGAAATATAACTTTGTCTCTCTTTTTCAGATGTGTTCATTAAAATAATAAACTTTTTTTTAAATCAATCGAATTGGTTTTTTTACGTTCCGCTTTTATTATAAATAAATAAATAAGTAAAATAAATGATTATATATAATGTGACTTCTGAAAAATAACGTTAATTATTTTTTATAAATTTCCATAGGAGGAAAACTATGATTCAGATAAAAAGCAACTCTTCTTACTCTTAATAATTGATTTCTCAAAAATACCTTTACAAATTCACGACGCGTTTCCATTAGAAAAAAAATAGT